AAGGTTGTCAAATCAATTCTGGCGTAGTCAGTTTATTCGCAGTGGCGGTCACTAAAAGACACCGTGGCACAGACAGATATAGGCCACGTATTCCCGCAGACGCCGCTAATAGCGTTGCAGTCGTCAAGAAAGGTTAGATTTTATGTGTACAACGATACAAGTGCCAAGATAGGACCGCTCAGGTGAAGTGGAAACACGCCGACCTGTCGATTAGTCCAAACATGTTGTCGGAAAGCGACAACAGGTTTAGGTTAAGTAGTACAGCAATACATGGCCCAAGGCAAAATTTAAGTTTTTATAAAACAACATGTTTGCGTCTAACTCTATTTGTCTCGATTCACACTTTGTTACGGATAGAAAAAGAAGCTTTATGAGCAAAGCTTGGAGAATACAGAACAGATAACTACTAAGCTAAGTACAAGCAGAAGGTTGAAGGACATCATACTAGTTAGCTATAGAGGCTCAATAAAAGTATCTGGTATAGCTGCTATCATGCAGACTCATCGTGCGTCTGTATTCCTTGAGAAGCTTCTGAGTCAAAGGCCTAAATGTAGACATTTGATAGCTGTTCTGGCCATGTTTACCTAAGAGTTTATGTGCGTGTCGTGTAATGGAAATTGATTGCGTGTAAAAAGCCATTAGCCACAGTGAACGTATGCTTTCGCTGTCAATCCGGCGAGCTGACCCATTATTGGTACGGCTTTTTGATGTACCGTCTCGCCGATTCGAAATGAGGACACTTGGAAGTATCGAAAGTGTTCTCAGAACAGAACGATCTGATATGAAAGAAAGGCTAGCGCAGTGCTGCGTGCAGCGTTTATCTAAACACTCATGAGCCGCCGCCGCCGCCGTCGTCGTCGTCGTCGTAACAATGAATGGGTTACTGTCGAGGGTGATGCATTTCGGCACAGATGAAACTACCAATTATGCGCCTGATGGGTCTTCGATCGTTGCCGTTCACGGTATAGAGTGTGATTTTACAGAGGTGCGTACCACTAGCAAGGATTATGCGCCGTTCTAATATCAGCACTCCATAGACATAGTAATACACAGCATAGTGCAATAGCCTTTTTGTTCGAGGACCGCGACTGATAGTCGTTTATTATTATATATAGGTATTGTATTCCCAGTACACGTTCACAGACTAAAGTAATCATTTTGGTAGCCGATATAATAATGATAGCGTCGAAGTTGCCATAGATGATTGTTCAGAGATGCGGAGAATAACTCGTTTTATGTTTTTCTATTTATTTTAGATGTATATACACGGGTGACGATGCTTGAGGTCGAGTTGCTATTTAACGCAAAGTTGTCCTTATTGACGCAGGACGTGAGTATGAATTTCGAACTGTTTTCACAGCATGGCACGTTTCCATAGGTGAAAAGACGTATGATTGGAATCGATGTTGCTCGTAGATGTCCAGCTGCAAAATAGGCTATAGTTGCTAAGGGAATTACCCGCACGGCGTGGTAGACTTTATTATAACAGCACAGGGGCGAGCCAAATAAAACCATGAAACGCAGAGGCCCTCGATTGCTTAAAAGACGAGAAGGCGCTATCCAATCAGAACAAAAAACTTTGAAAATCCAAGAATGTGTTTTCTATTTGGAGCAATCAACCGTACGGCCGACTTCGGCACCTACATAATACATTTTCAAAAAGTCCTATAGGGGAGCGATTCCGACCGCTTGCTTTCTACCGCCAGCAGTTCAAACGAAATTTTGCAAGAACTGCGAATTAGCTTTATGATTTAGTCGACGCAAACAATTACTCCTGACGCCACGCTCATGGCCCTATCATCATGGCTTTGGCTTACCAATTGCTGAAGCCTAAAACAATAGAGGAACTAGCTGGGCCATTACGGGGTTACACATAGACGGCAGCAGAGCCGGGTTAGACTAGATCAGATCGAGCGTATATTAGACTGGTACGTAAGTGATGTCAACTTTTCCTGCTTAACAAAAACAAAGCGTTTCAATGATAGCAACAAAGTAATTTACGAAGTATTAGCCGTCATTTTCCACGACCTTTTTTCAAACCTCGTCAATATAGTTATTCGTTTTCGCCAGAGATTTTGGTGATCATGGAAAACTTATCCAGCCAGTTGTTGGACTCCTCCCTGTGCGTTCTTCGCTATCAAGCGTGCCTTTACGGAATTTATTTGCCAGTGATCAGAAGTTCGTTGGCGTGCAGGACACGTTAAATGCAAAACCTGGCGTAGCACAACGTGTCCTGGTACTGTTTTGCATCTCTTTGCTCGCTTTATTTGGCCTTTTCGTTTGAATAGGTTCCTCCAGTTGACATAATCGTAGTTGAGCTTTGCACAGATCCTTGTTGCTCGCCTTGCACTTGTCAAGCATTTTTTAGTGTTTAGGACTCTTTTCCGTCCCATTAAACGCAAATTATGTTTTTTGAGATGGAAATCTAGCTTAAATCGAAGCTTTTACTAAACTTCCAAAACTATCCATTGCTTTTCCTCCTTCATATTGACCTGGAGATGCTTCTTGTCAGCCATAACGATTGTGCGTAAGAACCTACCTATTTTTGTAGTTATGCGTTGCCTAGTGCGAGGCCAGACCTTAGCTGTTAATGAGAAACTGTACCTCCTTGCACGACTCACAAACTCTATGCTGTACCTAGGCTTCTAATAAAATTCCGTAGAGGAACTGTTGGCTTCCGTGTGGCATGTTTGGCGACAGTCTTACGTTTGCAGCTTGTCTGCTAGGCCAGTTACCGAGTTGCTTGCTACCGAAGCTCCCCATCGACTTTGAATGGCCGACCGGAAAGGGTACACTACACCCTTCAGATCCGACGTTCCAGCTTTAAACTTAGCAGACCTTTTCGAGCAATGTCCTTAGGGGGGTCAGCACCCGTTATAGATGTCAGCTAATCGTGAGCGCGAGGTCTACGGCCGTATATCCTCTAATAAATACAATATGTACTCTCCTTTCTGCTGCGGCACCTGTGTGACGTTGAAGTGCCTTGACCTGCTGCCTTCCCTTCTAGTCGAGCCTATGTCTTCATATATAACTAACAATACTAATGCCACCCACTATGTACTGCTACAGGTTTACGCTGTAAATATGACGTACTACACATAAAAAGCCTAATATGAAAACATTTCTACTTCATCTATTGTAGATTAACGCACGCTGCCAATGTTATACATCTAATTTTATGGTGATTAGCAAATTTGCGCCAAGCAAACTTCGGTTATCTTGGACTAACCTAAGGGAATCTGTTGGTTGGCAACTGACGACAAGGCAGGAACGTTATAGCCGTTCAGCGAATCATGCACCCGCCCGTGAACATATTGCGCAGGTAAATAGGTGAGAGATTAGTTGGATAGAGTACTCCTGCTGTGCCGGTAGTTGTCGACGACCGACCGACCGACCGATCGACCGACCGACCGATCGACCCTTTTAGGGTTACCCAAAATAACCGAACCTCTATAAAACGCTAATTTCCATAGGTGTCACAAAACGGATTGTATTACTAATTGAGTGGAATCAAATAGAAGAGACAGGGGAAAAAAACGTCCGACAAAAACCCTATCCAGCCGCTACACAGATAGTCGTGGCACGAGAGTAGAGGTTACATACACAGTTGTATATTAACTTCCGTGAAAATAACCAACTGACAGCTGAGCGCTGGAACTCAGAACGTAATGTTCGACTGTCACCCCCGTGGCAACGCTTAATAGAGATAACGGCACAAGCGATCAAAATAGACATTTGTAGTCGGTGTCAGGATATTCTAAAATTTTACCTAGCCCACCATGATAATAGAAGTAGATGTTCTAGAGTAGAAGTAGGGTGCACTGCCCTCCCGCTCAGACTTCTTCAAGGCCTGAGGTTAAGAGAGGTGAGACGCACAGATGAATCCTACGGGCAGATCATTATTTTCAGGTGCGTAAAAACAGTATGCGGAGTGAGCTTATAATATCAGTGGCGAAATGGTTTTCGGCAACCGGATCGCAAAAAGGCAACCGGATCGAGTGCTGCAAGCCTACTTGATTTGAACATGACTCATAATAACAATGATAATTGAACACTTATGTGTATAGAACTTTGTTCAGAAATGCATGATTTATCTTGACAGCGAGGCCGGGCGTCACACACAAGTGAAATTTCAGAGCAGTCTAGTGGAATTTCAAATAGATTAACTCCGTGTATGAAGCCTTCTGACTTTTTCAAATAGAACAAGGAGCATTCATTAGGCTTTTTATGTAAGAAATAAAATCAACTGTATGGACATCTGCGGATGTTACTCGACAGCTGCGGAAATCAGGTACTGAGTGAAATCTTGGCAAATATGTGATTCAAACCTCCCGAAGAGGTACAAAAGTCTGTCAAAAACGATCGTCAAGGCTTTCTTCGAGCGTCGGATAACGAGCTTTTGCTATCTGGCTCCATCTTCTGCCCAGACATGGAATCAGACTATTACACACAAATCACTTTGCTACATAAGTAAAAAGTGCCGATGCAATTGACCTCTCATTTAGAGCATCGGCAGTTTGTTTTAGATGAGCGTGTATGAATGTTAGCAGTATCGAGTGTTTTTCCTGAAAACCATAAGGATCATAGGTCTATTTGCCTTCCGGTAAATATTGCCATCGTCTTCATTCGTATAGCCAACTACCTTCATTGTCACTTTTTGAATGTGTCAATAGGTGGCGCTACAGTAAATAGTGGTAACAACAAGGTTCCGCCAACGCTACTAGTTCGTGGATAGCAATGACAGGGTTCCGTTGAGGGCTGGATAAATGGGGAGCTGTCATGGTCAGTCGGCCAGCGCGCGCTAGCCTGCCTTCTTGCTCCTGTATCGTAGCAAGTAGAGAGGGAACTAACGGATTAAACGGCAGCGGCGACAGCAGCAGCAGCAGCTTTTACGGAGAGATGTGGTGGGATCGCTGTCAAGAGATCGGTGCCAGGGCCGCCGCAGAAACTTCGTAGCTGGCGAGGGGGCAGCACGCTACTACGCGAAGCAAAAACAGTTGCACGTGTTTTACAAAACGAATGATATTGTTATAAATTAAATATGTGATATGTGTTGAACATTAGATTATAAAAAATAGAAATAATCTGTGCTTTTTGGTGTGATCTAGTGAGAGTGGATTGTATCTGCAAACGTGTTGGAATGAGCGTGTGAGAACCTAACAGTGTTTTGGAGTTAGTGCTTGACTTGTGTAAATAGTTTATATTAGTGGGACATCGTCGTATGTGAAATCTCAAGTATACAAACACACGAGGATATAATCAAATAAGTTCATAGTGATATATCGATGAACTGGATGGAGTATTAACGTGAGCGCAACGATGGGACTATTAAGGTGAGTAAACATAAAAATTTTCCTGCAAAAATACGTATACTATAATTACATACAATTGTATGTATCACTTACGCTAGATATGTTATGTGCTATTTAGAGGGCGAGCAAGATCGTGCGATTTTCATACACAGGTAGGGGGAGTGCAATAATTTCTTCCCTTTCCATAACAGACGAATCTGATCTTCAATTATCTGACCACTGATTTCCAATTTTTATGGGAGGTCCCATTGCGCCGGGAAGAAAGGCACGACGAACGAGTCGGGATACCGATATACATTAGTTAGAAAAAAAATAACATTATCTGAGACAAGACGAGTCCCTAATTCCGCTTCGGAAATTGACTGACTTAAGAAGCGACTGCCCATTTGAATGGCGCTAAAATCGTTTTCGAAGAAAAAATATAGAAATAGCGAATATCCCTAACGGCGATACCGGATGGTATCGGTGGTTATTATCGGAGTCCCCACAATAAAGTTTTGTAAAAATGAAGGCGATTGCAATGTCTTCGACTAGGCAAACCGGAGGCAGGGTATATGGGTGGTCGAATCTGGATATAAATACACGTTGGTACTTCAGAAAATATTCAAACAACAAAATGATTCTCGGCTGCTCCCGATTTTTCCTAGTGAGTCTGACAGTGTCCCTAGAACGAAGCTAAAGAGCGGTACCCAGGCCTGTCACAGAAGGGACAGCTAAGGATCAGCTAGGAAAGAAACCACCGATACGGGTAATTATGTCAATCAATAATACCGTAAACATCTGACCTGAGTACATTTTACTTTATCCTCTAATGGAAGAGGCGCTACCCAGTACATGACGTCCGGTATTAAGTGACACATATGTAGACAATGGCAAAGTTTGCTTAACATTCCACTAGCCCTTGAATATTTTAGTTAAGGCAAGGAATAGCTTATCTTTTTCTATTTTTATTTTATTTTATATGTATTTTTCACATATATATTTGGAGAAAAAATGTTACTTTGAAAAATTCGGTTAGTTTCGTATCGCCTACCTCTGTGATACTGTCTGTAATGGTAACCCGTTGGTCTAACAATCTAAGGCGGTCTAGGTTCGAAGTTAGGCGTAAACACATGCTTAGCAACGGCAGTACCACACGAGAAACCTTCAACAATGAATGTCGTACAGCACCAATTTAGATTTCCACAACGAAGTAACTCGAAAAAAAAATGGCCGCTGAGCAATGTTCTTGAGACGCATTAGAAAAACTGGTGGCACAGTTCTGCAAAGCCAATCTATATATATGCGCTTATTATCTTGGACTTACTACAAATGCCGCGCCCCGAATTATAATTGAATCTAGCATGAACGCAATAAATCAGCGCTGCTATACTTGGTCTCCTAACCATTTACGCCTCGAGGATTGAACGCTGTCATACAATTTTAACAGTAAAATCAACCTATGCTGATTTAAGCATCTATATTGTCGCGTTATATAGGGTAGTCGGTGAATACGAAACACCTTTTTTCTGTTCGAACAAAAACGCAAACAATAGGTACATGTCATCATTCACACAAACGAGTCTAAATAAGACACCCAGTGTTTATCTATATGCTGAAACTGAATGCAATCACCGCCGAAAGCTCTAAACATTCAAAGAAAACAAAAAAAAAGACATGACAACGAAAAACACTGTTTTAGTGCTTTTTTAGTCCAGTTTAAAAAGGCTATGACATGAAAATATTTATTCTTTGTTAGTATATATTGGTTCTATGCATAGAAACCGCATGGTCCCTATGCTAAGCCGGCACTATTGTTAGTGCAATAAAACAACATGTCATGTCTTCAGCTGTGTAGGCTGATGAGCGATAGACCTGTGCCAGCAGGCCAAGGTATTCGTCAAGCGCGCTTATCGCTACCATTTTCCAAAGGTTTCGTGGCAACTCATTCACAAATCAATTAACAATAACGCAATTGACATGATGGCTCTCTATTATTGATTATTAATTAACTTCTCATCATCATAATCATAGCATTTCTTCCTTGATTGACGACTCGTTTACCATATAAATCGTTCATACGTTTAGGGCATCCATCAAGCGTGAACAGCTCCGCGTTGAGATTTACTGGACCGTGTGATAGAGTTCGTTTTCAAGGGGAAAGAACCACTTGTGTATTTCTTCATTAACTAGTCCCCTTTTTTCTGCCGGCTGTAGTTTTAATATCGTGCGGGGAGCAAGCGAACAAAATGCATCGTGTACGAAGATTTGTTGTAGAAGCGTGGCGATAAGCCGCTCTAAATACTTATCAGACAGCAGCTATATACAGCTTCATATACCATTGCAAGGCACATTGGGATTTCAAGTTTTCCTCGGCCTATTTCGAACATTCCGGTGGTAACCTTTGTATATAGAATCTCAGGACCCTAGAGCTACTGCTGCAATATACCTATGCCTGCGGCTATTAGAAAGCCTACAAATCTTTTCACGAAATCACTTTTGAGGGCAGCTTCGATTTAAAGGCGCCGACGGTGATAGTAGTTGACTGGATGTAGATTTGTTCAATTGAAGCGTCAAACAGAATGAAAATTCATATTGCAAGAAAGTTTGTTTGAGAAAAAAACAACTAGACGTCTGGAATTTTATTTAATTCTGATTATATTCTTTAGGGAGCTGCAATTTACAGCACAAATGGTTTGTTTTAGCCGCACAGATAATGTAGCATGTGTCGTGGGCCAGGCTGGAGCCAGCATCCTTTGGTCTCTCTCAGTTCGAAAATTGGCCGTCTAAATGTAAATTTTAGATGTACTAAAAGTGTTTTATTATATTATTGAAATTTTATGATATTATACTGTAACATAAACAAATGGTATCGGAATTCCTCTCAAATCTAACATAGTAAATTTTGATAGATAGATAGATAGATAGAAGAACACACTCAGGATTCCATACCATACAAGTCGATTTGGTATTAGTGATGGTCAGCTACGTTACTGTTGTCAGGTGTTTGAAGTTTGAGCTGCCCGAATTACATGGTCCGATAGGTATACTTCACATCTATCGGATTCTAAAGGGACTTATAATTTTGATTAATAGACGCAATATATATCAAAATGAAAGCCAAATTTTCCTTACGTATGTATATGCATCTTCCAACCTTGTTGGCCCTGTGTGTTGTGTTTCCTTTTGTTACAGCTGTTCAATAATGATTGAAGGTAAGAGAAAGAGGTGTCGTATAAGTTGTACGTTGATCTTACGCTGTACGAAGGGGTACTCCTAAGCTATATGATGTTCTCACTTGAAATAACTTCGACTAACGAGGTATTAGCCATTTCATGTCAGTGTTAGATAAATCCTAAATGAACATGGATTCCTTTGATGATTCCTGGAAATGATAGCGAAGCCGCATTTTATGCTACTGCACACTGCGTTTCTCTCGTAAGCAAGGAGAAAGTACGAAAAAGAAGCAGGTCCATACTGTATCAATGTTGTTTAGCGTAGCATGTGTGTCTTGCTTATATCTAGCAATCTGATAAGCCGATAATTCGCTAGGGATCCATTAGCAATTAACAACACTTCGGCTCTATTTAACATCAACCCTGCACGCGCTAGAGGAAGCTTGTAGATTATATGAATTTGTTGGCACACAACAACGATCTCGCCATTTTCTGAAAAAAAAAACCATGGATTAGTACCTTGTATATATAAACAGTTATCGCGATAAGCTGCTATTCAACGGCCCTTTCAACGGGCAGGTACTGCACTCCCCATTCGGTTTGCCTGCTCAAGCAGGCCATCAAGCGGACGACCGGCCGCACCTTGATACCAGTATCGCCAGCCGTAACGCTGCATTCGACGTCCGTTTTATCGCGATCATCGCTGAAGGATCTGAGATGTCATAGAATAATTGTGACCCAAGTGAAAGATGACAAACGCGGAAGAATGAGCACAAAAGTTCTTAAAGCAAAAAAATAGTTTTCGCTACGATCTAGATAGCTTGAAGTGAAATTGTAAGCAGTTTTAAAAGTGACTTTAATTTTTTTCATACTTTTCTAAGAGAGTAAAGTATTTTAGAAAATACATCATTCAACTGGCCATTGTTTCTGCTTCACCGCATAAACACGAGTGTCACCCATGCGCCTACTACTCGTCATAACAACCCTGATCGTCGTAACGGTCGACTTGAGCGTATGTATACTGACGATCTATCCAACTTTCTGCGTAAGTTCAAACTTAATGATCAATACGTTTAGATTTTTACGGTGTTCACGTAAGCAAATGCATGCCAAAAGTTATGGTGCGAGTCTGAACTATCATACAGGTACAATATCGTTGCCATATCTCTAAGGGACTATTACTAAAGTATGCAGTGCTAAAAGCAGTGCAAAAGACTTTGATAACGTTGCGCCTCTAATACATCATGGACTAAATCTATCTCTACCGATTTTTAGATTACTAATTTAAAACCTATTTGAAAAGCTACTAGACCAAATATGTGTCAATCATGTTCGTTCTAACATCTGGCTATGCCATACAAAGGAAGCCTATCTGATCTAGTAACAAAGGATGACTTGTAGCCTTAGATCTCGTAATAGTATGTTTTTAACACACTTTTTCCAATCTACATTTACAAGCATCGCTGAGTAATTGAAGATCAAACGCTTATTAGCTCTCTGATATAAATGTTCGTATTTATTTATACTTTGAGGGCCGTGAACGCGCGTGTGATGACTGCTCCTAGCTTCTATCTTCCCCAAAGCCGCCACGATCACTCAAATCGTTACCGCGTTCAAACGAACAGGAACTGCGTTAAATTACTAGCGAGCACGTGTACTGCTCATTCATATGTTAAGGTTTGCGTCGTCCGTTGTGTTACGGTTAATCGTACGTTTACATATACTAAATCCTAAAATAAACAATAGATGACGTAATAGATGCTGGTGGTTGTCAGCGCGGATCGATACTTGTTTGCCTACGATGTAGAAGAGCGTCAGCTTCAAAAGAAGCCTAGTTCAGCGGTTAGAATTCAAGGAACGAAAAAA